TCAGTGTTTATTTGATTAGATTAGCCATTGAGTGACACAAACATGTTTACCGTATAATCGTATCATAGCATGAAATATATCTGCAGTCCTTTACAGACACTTATATAATGATGAATCGATTTTCAATAATTTAAAAACTTTATAAAACTCATTTAAAATACACGAGAATATTGCATAGGCTATGCTAAAAGTGCAGCTATGCTAAAAGGCCATACAAACACACATCCCGTTCCCCACAGAGAGTGTGTAATTTATGAACACTTCATAGCACTGGTAGTCTATGAAAAGAGTGATAAATAGTAATAAATAGTTATAATTCTCGAGAAAACAATTACATTTGAATTGAAATATTCATTTCATTTGCAATTAATTGCTATTCATATCGACAGTAGTGTTAACAGCAATTCAATTGATATATGCATTGGTCTTACAGTTAACACACGACTACTGTCTTCATATCATAACTGAATTGTATTTTTTGTGTTCAAATTGTTTGTCATTTCACTGTTTACTGGAAATTGCATTGAAACCCAAGAATTTGTGACCAAACGGGGTATCAATTGATTAGTGGATGACTGGTGTATAGAGTATTGAATCATATGGTGGACAGAAATGCAGAGATTATGACCGAATACAAGCTGGTCGTTGTCGGCGGTCAGTACCACACCTCCCATACCTCCCTGTCCTCCCATGCCCTCCATTACCACTCCTATATATCAATAAATGGTCTCTTATCTAACATATGATTGTCTGTTCCCATAGCCGGAGGCGTTGGCAAAAGTGCCTTAACTATACAATTGATTCAGAATCAGTGAGTATCACACAAACACTTCCACCACTTGTATTGACTGCCATTGTCTGGTCCACAGCTTTGTTGATGAATACGATCCGACTATAGAGGACTCGTATAGGAAACAAGTGGTGATCGACGGCGAGACATGTCTTCTCGATATACTGGACACCGCCGGACAAGAGGAGTACAGGTCTGTGAAGTGTTTGCATTGTGTTTACCATTAAATGTCTGAATTAACCGATGGATTGTCTACTCTTCAGCGCAATGAGAGACCAATACATGCGAACCGGAGAGGGATTCCTATTAGTGTTTGCCGTAAACAATGCCAAGTCTTTTGAAGACATCTCTATGTATAGGGAACAGGTATGTGATGATTGGTGACACACTTATATGCTATAAAACACAATTCGTTAAACAAATAAAGCTTATGAAAGGGCTATAAATGAAGCGATGGTTTAAATATGTAGTCATATAATAGACGCAAATAATTAGAAAAACGATTTTTATTTACAAGTTATATAAGAATATAAATCTCATTACTATTGACACGAATAGGCTATGAGTTAAGTCTTAAGAGATAAGTAGTGATAACGAGATTAACGCTAATCGCAGATAAAGCGCGTGAAAGACGCGGACGACGTGCCGATGGTATTAGTGGGCAATAAGTGCGATTTGCCGACCCGTGCGGTCGACATGAGGGCCGCCAACGAAGTGGCCAAGAATTATGGCATTCCCTTCGTCGAGACGTCGGCCAAGACCCGGATGGGAGTGGACGACGCCTTCTATACGTTAGTCCGAGA